AGATTCATGTCCTCTTCTCTTCTGCAGTGCATGGTCAAGGACAAATGTAGAGACTGACTGCAAACCGATGCTTCCCATACACTGTTAAAGAAAAGCCTCTTGTGAACATATGAGGCATTTGCCCTAGGCTCCAAAGCAACAATGACTTCCAGGAACTGCCCAGCAATCTCTTCAACAAAATAGGTTCAGCCAGCCCAGATCACTCATAATTTTTTGCATGGCATTATAATGGCTGCTGTGTTCTGCCTATGCAATCACCTCGTGGGCAGTGGTGAGTTCATTTGCTTTGGAAAATGCTTGAATCATCTCAAAGGATCATCATCTTTCAAAGAAGTCAGTGCTAGTGACAAGACCTGTTACCAGGTTATCAACAAATGTCTTCTCTTGACAGGAGCCTCTGGGTGTGCTGAGATCCATTTAGTGCAAATTCCAGGCAGGCAAACAAAAATGTCGTGACACAAGGAAGATTTCCAGCTCACTAGTGGAAAAAGCATATGCTTCAGGCTGACTAAAAGCAAGCTTGAAAGGGTTATGCATCTGGCCCAGAAGATGGCTTTTTTGACTCTTGTAGAAGCTGGCATAAAAACAGGCTGAGCATGGCCATGGATTTTTTAAATTTGCTTTTCTAGCCATGTGATGTTTAGGCTAGGGAAAAACTCACGCCACTGGAGTATAGTTCAAATGCTCTGTTTTTCTGGGCTTGTTATAGGACAGAACAAAACAACAATAGTCAATGAATTTTAAAGAAAAAAAATTACATACTTTACCATGCCTTCATGAACAATAACCTATAAAGTTTTATATTTTTATTTCCTTTCATTTAGGGGGCAGTATGCATATTTGTTTTCATGCACAAATGCACTCACAGCACTGAACGACTATTTTGTAGTAATATCTCTTTTATTCCCTGATGTACCAATAAGATAAAGCCAAATAGGGAGAAATTGCTGTCATTATAATTTGGGATGCATTAACTTCTGGGTATTGAAGTCTAGGAGTCCTGACTTCAAAAGCTTTGGGCAGGAAAGGGAAACTTTTGCTGTGAGGGAACAAGCTGGATGTACTAAGGCGTGTTTGTGAGCTTGCAGTAAAAAGACGGTTGTGGTGGCCTGAGAGGGCATGGTTTTGCAGAGCCCTATTAATCCCTGCTACAACTGCTGGCAAACACATAAAGGAGTTTCAGAGATTGCTCTTCCTTCTTTGGCCCATTACTGAACAGGAGCTGCTGCTGCCCATGCAAACCCTCCCTGTCTTGCACTTCCAGAAATAGGGGACTGGTCCTGGGAAGCCAGTGGTGCCCAAAGAAATTATTTTCATTACTTTCTTTAGAGTCAAGCCCTAGTAATCTAAGACAGGAGGACACAACGGGCAGCTTGCTGACTCACTTGGGCTTACAGGACAACTCCAGCTGGGCCACTGCCTTTCCTACGCCAACAGGCAACTCTCCTTTGCTCTGCTTGCAGGGAGTCAGGAGTTTTGGCCCACAAGTCCTTCCACAGTTTCACTGTGTTCATGTCCTGGAGCCCCAGGGAGCTTATGTGCTTTGGAGCGATGGCCTGCGCCATGCTCTTGGCTTCAAACCTTTTCATAGGAGAAGAAAAAGGCATCGACGATGCACAGATAATTGAGCACTCCTACAGCTATGCTCTGTGCTTATTGAGCAAACACATCGCAGGCAGCAATTGGGAAATCATGAGCAGGAACGTGCACTGGAAAGCAAAACTAAACATCTGTACCCTCACCAGTGAAACTGCACGGAAAACCTGGGAGAGGATTGCAAATGTTTATCACGTGACTAATGAGGTCCAGAAAATTCTGGCACAGTTCTTAAAAAAGATGAAAGCATCTTTAAAATAAAGCTATCATTGGCCTCAGATGTGCCATTATGTTTAAACTGTAAAGAATTTCTAAGCTGTCATGAGCTAAATAGTTAGAAGCAGGCCAAAAAGTTGGCAAACACTTCTGCAGCTTTTGTTTAAAAACCACAGTAATCTTTGAGGAGAAGCAGAGTTGAGTCAACAGAGCCGTAGGAGACTGGACAGACTCCGGCAGTGAGCAGTGCAGAAAGCAGAGGCTCGTGCACCACGTTTTGACGGGCACTTCTAGCTACCCTTAGGACTAGATTTGTTGGCTGCCCACCATCTTCAGGCATAAGCGGGGGTGTGCTCCAGGGCACAGAATGAGGCCGTTCGGGTCGGGCAGGTGCGCTGGGAGCGGGTGGCTGCGCTCAGGCACATTGCTCCCATCCACCTCCAGCCCTGAGGCCTCAGTGGGCAGCGAGGGAGGTCAGATCAGGGAGCACTCTTAAGGACCCTCTGAAGGACAGGTTTGGAAGAGGATGAGCCTGGCAGTACGCAGATATATAATAGGAAAAGTTTTCAGCAAGGATAATCTAAACCTTATTTTACCTACCTCATCTCTGGATCATAAGCTTTTTGTTACGTGACTGTTCAGCCCTTAGGACAGAAGCACCTACGTCTCAGTTGGAGATGTCTTGACCCATTTGTAAGAGAAGTGAAAACAATAAATCAATAGGAGTCTGTCCACTGACTTCAGAGATCACTGGGTTGGACTTTCTCTGTCAATACTGAATAGGGATCCCTCCTCCTCAGACATTCATAGCTACCGCCATTGAAGCGAATTGGCTGTAACATCACCATAAAATACCACACATTGCTCTGCATCTTCCTATAATTGCTTGATAGCTTTACAGGGAACTCCCTTGGGGAAGAAAATAGTAAAGACATGGTAAGTCACAGTAATACTCCTCTGCTGTTCTTTGATGCTGCCCAGCTAACTCATGTCAGAGGTGGAAGTAAATCCAGGAAGAAGTCAAGTCAGCAGAAAAGTTTTCAGTGGAATTTGTAATCACTAAATGCAGAAACCGGCTGCAAATCTTTCTCTGTCTCAGCTTTTGTGCTTAACTTACATGTGTGTTAAGTCACTGTAATGAAAATCAGAGAGTGTTTGCTCTAAATGCTTGTACGATCTCAGAGGAACTCATGAATTCATGGAGAGGACTGTGTAGGGAGTGATGGTAGAAGGATTTGACTACTGTGCAGGAAGAGAAAGAAAGGGAAGGACTGAAATAAAATGTGGATCAGGAAAATCGGATCACCATGACAAATACAAATGAGCTCTGAAAGAGTTTCTGAGTAGAGTCTCTAAGAATGGTAATGAAGTTTGATATGTTTTGGGAACAAGATAATGAGATCAGGGAGTCAGTGCTGTCTGGTACCTACAGAGGATGGCATGCTTCTGCCACGCATACAAAGTCCTTTCTCACATCATAGCAGCTGAGGCTCTTATCCCTTTGAAACTCCTAACCTAATCCATGTCATCCTGGGAACTGCTGGGTAGAAAAACCCAGCTGCTTTCTGAGGTGTTACCTGTGATTCAGCAAGTGAGTCAGTACTAAATCAATAACACAGCATTTATGTTTGTGCCAGTCCTTCACTGAGGCTTTTCTGGGTGAGTGGTGATGGGCTGAATCTGATGACTCCTAGCGCAGCTCCATGGTAGGAATCTGCACTTGGCCTGAAAGTTAAAAGCGATCAGTGTGATGACCATAATCATGACAGCACTGAAGCCAGATGCCACAGACACCTTTTCCATGGCTCAGGGAATATTTGAGACGTAAACCATCTGCATATGTAGAGGTGCTCTGCACTCTGAGGCTGTTTCCACTGAAAGGGCATCAAAAGCAGATAAAAATGAATCGTCATCATTATGGACTGGATTTCTGCCAGCTGCTTACTAATTAGAATTTTAATTGTCCAGTAATAAAAGTTTTAATTACTCAGCAATTAGTGCTTCAAGTCTGAAGTGCTTCACATGCACTTGATTGCATTCTGCAGTTGCCAAGAGTGAAAGATGGAATAGTTCCAGTGCGTCTACGCAAAGCTCTGAGCAAGAGGGGTGAACATCAGTGATGGAGCAGCAGCAGAAAATGAGTACGGCCCCAGTTGCCGATGAGCAGCCAGGCAAGCACTCTTGCAGAGCAGTACCTGCAGGCAGCTTTCCCAAACTCACAACCTCCTCAGCTGGGCCAGATAAGATGCTCGGGTAGTAAAGGCATCATGCTGGGGAAAGGCTACTGCAGAGACCAAGTCCTTTTCAACACCTCTGCTCTTTTACTTGGGGCATTCATTCCTTCAGGCTTTTAGTCACATACCCTGCAAGTACTATTTGGTTATTTAAACAAGTTTTAATCTAAACTCACATGAATCCAATAGGAGTCACTTAGCTCTGTAGGTGTCTTACCAAAATGCCTGAAACCCATCGCTGCAGGATGCATTTACAGTTAGTAGTATCCAGCTGCAGTATGTTTATTTCAGTTCAACAACTATTTTACCTATACTATATTCCCTAGCTAATTCAAGGCCAAAATAACCTTAGCTGGGTCAAGCATGAATTACTTCATACCTAGTATTACCCCAATTAATTTTCCTTATGCTGGATAGTAAAGGTCCTAATTAACACAATCTCTGAGGGCCTGGTTTCTTTCTCCTTGCATTATTTGAACTTAAATATCATTAACAAGTCAAACTTTATCAAAGTCAACACTTGGCAACAGCCCAGGAAACAGAACTGCATTTAGGCTTCAGAGTCTATGCCTTTCAAAAGGTGGCTTGGTTTTGTTGGGTTTTTTTGTTTTCCTTTCTTAACTGGTTTCAAAATTTATCTATTGATAAACAACAGTTAAAGTTGAGAAGTGAAGTTTATGAGGAAGTGCACTGATAGTCACATAAATACAGTTTTACAAAAACCCTTCCCGTTCTTGAGTATAAGAACGGGAGTATCAAATCCAAACTATGGTTACCTAAACACCAACATCCAGATGGTATACATACAACATTAAACAAAACAGAGTTTTTCCCCTCCCCAGTAAGTCTTTGCAACAGGCAGTTCTTTGGTTGAATCTACTATTAAAAAGTGTTTCCTCTTTTCAGTGTTTGCTACCCTATGGAACCTCTCTTTTCCCATTTTTTATTTTCCAGCTATGCTCTTCCCAGCTGCTCAGCGATTCAAGAGGTCCTCAGCTGCCTTCCTTAATCCAGTGCTACAAAACTCGCTGGAAGATGTCGTCCTGCTTTATGAGGTTCAGTATATGGGAGCAGATGGTACCTTAAGCCCTAACCGAGACTGAGGTTACTCTCCATGCTGGGGTTATCCATTATCTGTCTTCATGTCACTTTTACTCATCCCAGCAGTAAACCCCTTGCTGACTATGTAATAGCTCACCAGAAGGGAGGGAACAGACATATATATGACAAACTCAGCTCTTTCAGCACTTAAACAGGCAGCAGTTGCCTGCAGTACCTCAAATGTGGGTTCTAGCTCACTGACAGGCAAAGTGAAAACCAGAGCAAATGGCTTTCCACTGAAAGCAGCTTTCTTCCAGAACAGCTACGTATTAACACCACAATGCATTTACATTCTTTGGTCTAAGTCTCAGTCCCAAATTTTTTGTTCAAACCATTAAAGCCACGAGTATCAGTCATTGCAAAGTAATGTCAAGGGCATGCCTGTTTCACTTCGGAATGATTGAGGTCCCCTCTTTCACAGCAGTGGAGACTGCAGATGTAAGGCACAGTCTGGAACAGTGTCATACAGTTAGCTAAGGGAAAGTGGCCCACCTGAAGCACATGTATGGGTCAAGTCTATCTATCCCACACCTTCAGAAACTGGGACTGGATGTCCAAACAGGGGAGATGGGCTGGGAAGCCACTGCCATGCTCTCTCACACAGACCTAAGCCATCACTACTATCCCTGGCAGGGTAAATGGCCTTTCCCAGCTGTGCTGCTGTCTCCATCTCTCTAATCCCTATGTGACACCAGCAGCAAACCATGTCTGTTTTGGACAACAGAAGACTACCTATTTTTCTCTTTTTCCTCTCTCCTTTCCCCATAGCCTGTCTATAATTTTGCCGGGTAGGTAACACAGGAGTCCAACATTCACATAGAGACTTTCTGGTCTGCCCCCCCTCCAGCCATTGCCACGAGAGTTTTGTCTCCATTTGACCTAAGTAAAGACCTAAGGACATGTTGTTAATTTACGTTTACTCTGCCTAGAATCTCTTGGTGAAGATAAATAGCTTTCTGTGTTCTGATTTTGTACCAGTTTCTTTTAGCTGAGCTTGACATTGACAAAGTTCAGAGGATCTCCATCAAAGATGAGGAGCTTGCTTCACTGAGGAAGGCTGCTGAGTTTGACATCATTTGCAATGAGATTATCCCCAAGAGCATCACAGAGATCCGCAGGCTGAGTAGCAGGCTGTCTTCCTACCCACGGGTCCTCAAGAAAGAAGACTTTGAAAGGACAGTGCTGACCATGGTGTACACAGCCTACAGGGCTGCTCAGTCCCAGGGGCACCAGAAAGACGCTTGGGCTGAATCCTTTGTCAGTCTTTACAAAGCCCTGAAGCACGACTTGATGTTCCCATACAATGAAGAGCCATCATAGTGGGAGACTTGATGCAATGGCCACTCAGCCACCTCTTCTGGTTGATAAGGGACACATAGCACATCCACCACTTTATTCTATAAAGAGTTTAATAGCCTGCTTCATGAAATATTATTTGTTTTCTAGCTCCCTCTTGTGGAATCCACTTTATAGTTCCATGTTAAGTGGGGAAAAATTGTTATCTTCAGTCCTGAGAATTCCTTTTTTGTGCTGGCTTGGAGGCACACTCTGTGACAGGCAAAGAAGGGAATCTGGTGTACACCCCAACAGCTATGCCCTTGTTTTGTCCTGTGGGTTTCCTATAAAGAATATATAAGTATACTAGGCTTATGTTCACATACCTATGTGTATGTGCTGGAGAATCCTGCTTTCCTAGCTGAGGAAACATGTTCATATTTTGGCTGACCAGTAAAAGAATATTATAATGAGATGCAAAGGCCCTCTGTAAAAGAAAGGGGATTCATAACTGTCAGCCTTCAGAAATTATGCCAAATATATTCATTCCAAATATTCTTGCAAATAAGCACTATCTGATTCACTTCATTTGGCTGAGCCAGTTTTTAATCACAATAACATTTGCAGAAGACAAAGGGCATTGTGAACACCAGCAGCAAACAGTGCCTGTGAACATATTCCCCACTTCCCAGAGCTGCCCTCCCAAACAATCTGCAATGATTCTATCATTGTTTGCACATGACTTTGTTTCTGCTCCTTGGTTTTTTGAAGGGGAGTCAAAGGCAAGACAAAGGCCCTGTTTAATTTAATGATGACACATTTTTCCTGGTTCTATCACTTGAACATAGGTCGTCCAACCCATGCTTCAGAATCGCCCTGAGGCAAGGGAGGAAGGTGCATTAAAACATATCTGGTGCTGAATTTAACAGTGTGGCTCATTTTCAGTTTTGATGGTAAATTATATATTCACTTGTGTATACGTGTGTGTATGTTCATGGATGTGTGTGCACATAAGTGCTGAGTACATGGAAGAATCCTAAATTGTTCAGTCAGGGAAAAATTGCATCTGACCACTTAGCAGAAAAGGCCATTCACCAATCTAGTGGTGGGAATTATGACTTTGGGAGCAGTGGAAAAGCAGTACTTATTTACGGCAAAATTTTTTGTAGAAATATTGCAACTGATGATTATAAACTGCAAAAAAAATCATGGACAGAAAATGGACAGAAAAAGGAGATATATCTTGTCAGACAGATGACTAGCAATGAAAAATCTAACCTCTTCTAAAGCAAATCCCCTAATTTTTGTGAACAAGTTAAACAAACTCTGTTTTTCTATTGATATTAGAGGTGCTTCTACTTCCAGAGCATGGGAAAACAGCTGAACAATGTTTTCATCCTTTCATACGAGCACTCTCTATCACTTTGTTTGCATAGTATCTTAAAGAGACAGCCCCAAATCACAAATCCCTGAGGCTGTAAAAGAGTACTGGGGACACCAACCCCAGTTCTGAATCATGTTTATCTGCTTCTGCATCACTTGGGCAAAATGAATAAACTCTTCTGTGTCCCTTGACAGAGATGCTCCAAGGACTGGAGTTGAAAAAAATCCATCCAGCACCACTTTGTTGCAGCAAACAGCAAATAGTGCAAGCAGTCAGAGCACACTGGGTTTGGCAATCACCCGTGGGAATGTGAACCCACAGCAGCCTTAGGGGCAGGCTGGCAATGGCAAAAGCAGTTGGACAAAGGGCTTATAAAAGACAGTCATTCCAGTTTCTCCCAGTAGTTTCTATATGTACATGCATGAGCGTGCGTATTTGCATTTAGATGCACATATGTGTAGGTGCGCTTTTATACCTGAATATTGTTGGCCATCTTCAAAGCCTGGCTGGCATATGGCAAAGGAAACTGAAAATCTCAACCACAAAGCTATGAGCCACGAGTATCTCTGTCTCCTCTATTTGCACATACAGCTCAGAGCCCACAAAGCAGCCTTACGCTAAAGTCCATATGCCTTTTAAGCCTTCAGCATAAACACTGATGATCTGTTTGTGTTTTTTTACCCACACCATGCTTTATAAACACATGGAGGAGAAATGCCATGGAGCATGCTCCTGCCTTTCCAGCTCTGCTTCTTCTTGGCTCCCTGAAGCACCACTTGCTGGAAGAGCCTGGAACCAGGGCAACTCATAAATCCCTTACAGCCAGTGACTCCAAGTTTGCAAAGATAACAAGAAAGAGCTCCACAGCATGTATTAATTAGTAGTAATCACCATCCAGAGAAATACCTCCCAGCCACTTTCCTGACCCCACAATAAGACTGTCCAGAAATCAGAGTTTACTCATTAATAAATATCCCATGGAAAAGAATTACAGATAGTTTTGAATATCCAATCATTCCCTGTGGCATACATACCTTCCTGTACCTTACAAATTCGTAATTGAAACCTTTACCTCCCTAACAGAAAATAAAGCCTTTCTGAGTTTCTTTCCCTCCTCCCATTACTATGTGTAGTGTAGGAAAAGAGATTTATTCCTTGGGAATGTGCTTGGACTGCCCAGGTTAATTTAACAGAGACTGTCAATGTAATAATAAAAATAATCTACGTAAAACTAATTGGTTTTGCAGTGTATTGATTTCAGCAGCAGATTTATTCTTTAGCAACTTGCAGCATGGGTAATTGGTTATCTCAGACTGTGAAACTCTTCATGGGAGCAACAGTACAGGAGAGAAAGTGGAGCAGCCCTTCCCTCTCACTGGCAGGAGGAAATAAATAAAAAACCAAAGGAATAAATAATTTCCTCCTTTTCCCAGAGTTCAAGTGGGAAGGAGCACTCTGCCTCAGAGCAGCTCTTTGGGCTTAGGGCAACTTCCCTCCTTCAGTATTGCTTAAGATGCTGGCGTAGGTTGCCTGCTTTTAAAGGAAGGAGAGAAGAAAGACTGTTAGCTCTCCCTTGCTCAGTTCACATCTCACTACTTCAGACTGAGACGTGTTTATGTTCTCTGATGGGATAAAGAGCCATTGCCTCTAAATGGCACCTTTTATATACCCTTCGATCTTATGGATCATAAAAAAGTAAAATAAGCCATAGATTTTTTTTTTTTTATTTAAAATAAAACATTTCTAATTTTTTTTTTTTAGTATCTTAGACATTGTTTTAGTTTCTCTGAAAGAGCTGACAAAACAGATACAAATTCCCTGGCTGTATTGGCCAACCCCAAATCTTCACATTAACTATATTTTTGCCTCCAGAACTATTTGTTAAATTTGCCTGAAGGGTCTCAAGGTGCTGTTGTTTGACGGAAGTTTCAAGGTATAGAAGCATCACACAGTCTTAGATACAATTATTAATTTCAGGAAGAATTCGTGCTGCACATCAAATTCCTCTGCACATCTGCGTTTGCCCGTTCTCCAGGACTCAGTGTCCCAGAAGTATCCCAGTTCAGTCTGGGGAGCTCAGTTTGTGTCTGACTAGTGGAGTGTGGAGAAAAGATAGACAAGCAAGGTTTTGGGAGCATGGAAAACCCTAGTTGTGTGGCTTCTTATAAGATACAGGGCAAATGGATGTCCGTCTACAGGTCGTGCGTGCAACCAGCCAATGGATTCAGTCCTAAACCTCCAGTACACTCTGCCCCACAAAGAGCATTAATGATGAACAGAGTTGTAGAAATGTTTTTCCCCTGGAAGACTGGAGTAGAAAGCCTAAACATTCTCAATTTGAGTCTGAATCCTACCATTACTGAGGGCCCATAAAGCAATACAGAGATCACCCATGCCTTATGATTAAGTGATGTTCATGGATCAGGAAGGAAGAAACATGAAAGACAAAAGATATTGTCTAGAAAACAATGATTATTTCTTTATCATCAGTACTGGGACCCTGAAACAATAACAGACTGTTCAGCAACTAAAAAAGGTCTTTTTGTCCATTTGTGTGCATGACAGAAAGAGGAGGCTGTCGATTTTCTCAAATGTTCTGATTGGGTTTTGGATAATGGGTGGAGCAACTGCTACCTTTCATAGTCCTCATTGGTGAATTACAGTTGCATGAAGCTTTTTAACAAGTTTTATCTCAAAACCAAGTATAATCTGTGTTGGAATTGCCACCCCGTGAATTCCAAGCTCAGGGCAAAAGTAGGGTAAAGGTAGATACAAAGTAGAAGCTGAAACTATAGCAGAGACAAAATCTGGAGGAGCTGCAGATGGTTTAATATTTTTTAAGAAAGAATACCTGCAAACTTTATTTTTATGCGCTGAATGATAGATTTTTTTGTTTTAATAATTTTCCCACAGAAAAGAAACCTGTATTTAAGACATTCAGACTATCAAACAGGAGGAAAAGAAGCAGTCTGAAACATATTTCACCCGGTTAATGAAAGCAGGAATTACATTGCTGGATGATGGAACAAAAAAATCTTCCAAAACATGGGGATAAGAATGCAACACAGCAACATCTGTGATTCTGAATTAAAAAGAAAAATCGTCAAAAGATCACTATGCTCCAACTTGCAATCCTCTGCATGTTATGGTGTGGTAATAATTTGAATGTGCTGGTGATCCCTACTTAAACTGAATTTCTTTTTAATTGAAAAGAATAAACAAATTAAGAAAGCTATTTTAGGTGACTGGGTGGGTATAAGAAATGAGACAGTGAGAGACCTTTCAGGGAAATCTAAGCACAGGTGAAGGAAAACGTGGAGTCGAAGTTGGAGTATCTGAGAAACCAGAGAAGCAACCCAAGGAGAAGAAAGCCACCAGAAAATAAAGGAGTATGGCAATGATGAAGGAGATTCTCCGATCCAGAAATCTCCTGCTTGTTGTTCTCATTCCGCTTCTGCTGCTTCCTCTGCCACTTTTATACCCCAGCAGTGTAAGTACATTTTCATTTTCTTTTTAACAAAGCCTCTGAGTGCAGTAGGTAGTCATGCTGGATAAGTCTGCAGTGTGCAAAAAGAAATGCAAATACCTAAATCAGCATTGCTCTTAGAAAAACCAAGAACTCAGACTTGAAGGACTGGGAAGGTCACTGAGAAGTCATTGCAGTAAGAACCAGAAATACCTTGAGTCATGTCACAAGCAGAGCTGAAGAAACAGATGAAGCTTAATAAAGCACTACTTTAAAGCAGAAATGTTGTATCTCTTCTTTTCTGCAACAATGTGTGTGGAAGGGGCAACAAAGCAAAAATATCCAGGAAAATATTCTTTAAGGAGAGGTATTTACAGGGACTACTCTCAGTGTCTTTAGTTTTTAGTAAGTGTGCATGGAGGGACTTTAAATTTAGTGTGAGTTTATAGGACAGCTGTTCAAGTGAGGCAGGAGCTAAGACTCAGTGATAGACATGTAAGACCATACGTGGCAATGACTGTTCTAAAGCAGGTGTAGGCACCTCTACTGAAACATTGCAGCCCTCAAAGTGGCTAATAAGTGATGGTTCAGAGACATGCACAACAATACAAAGGAGGGAATAGTCTGTGCTTAAAATGCAGACCAGGGAATGGGAGTGAATGCAGCTGCATTCCTGACACTGTTTTGGAGCTACTGAGTATCCTTGGCCATGTGGTTAGCTCTTCTCTATGTAGTTGTAAACCATAAAATAACGATGTTTTGCTACCTTATAGAGATGGTGATGTTTAACTTATTGAAAGCTGCAATGCATTAAAAATTCTGCAGCTGGTGCTTCCATAGTGCTAGACATAAATCTGGCCAAATGGTGCAGCAATTTTCATTCCTTCCTCTACCCTGCTAAAGATTAATTCTTCCTTCTAGTACCAGAGGATTTATGAATACTACCAATTTATCAAATAGAAATGCAAAGGATTAGAAATTGTATGGCAGTTTTCAAAAATAAAACTGTAGTATTTTGTTTGGAAAGAAAAAACAGGATTCGCAAAAAGGAAATGTTCCTCCACCACTGAACTGTATGTTGCACTTTGAATGAGTTTTCCTGCTCTGAACTTCAATGTGTATCTCGGCTGTCCTCTTATAGCAGTTTTCCACCTCTTCTCTCTCTCTCGGGAATGAATGACAGACAATTGTGCTCGTCTTCAGAGAACAGCAGGGCTCACCATTTCACAGAGGCTTGTTTTAAAAAAGGGTTTGTTTAATCTCCCCCAATGTCACTGGAAGGGCGACATAAGAACAGATACTCCCTGACATGCCCATATGGCACCGTAACTGCAGCATGCTCTATGTCCCTTGAGAACCTCTCCTAGGAAACATGAAATTCACTGGACGTAAATTTGTCACTCATGTTTGTTCCCTACCGAATTGAGAGGCACAGGATGCAATAAGGAAACTCTTTAATAGCCAAGGGAATTGTAATAGCATCATATGGGTTCTGAACCAGAAGTTGACTGACAGTATTGCTGCAAGAATTGCTATTATACAGTACAAGCTCCTCTGTGCTGTTACTCTGCACCTCATGGTGTTGCTTTACTGCAAAGTGATATGGAAAGCCATCAGATGATCTTTTACATCCACTTTATATATACATGAATGACCACAGATGGTAAAGTATAGCTGTGAATCTGACCAGAGTTGGACAAATGTTTATAATGCTATTAAGAAAGCATTTACACCAAATATACTCAGGTGAAAATACACTATTCAAGTGGTTTAGTGTAGTATTTACTTGGTTACAACCCATTAACTATGATTACTTCTTAAGCCTGAAGATTAAATTTGTCACCTGCTGACTGACATATATTCTCATTTATCAGACAATTATATTAGTTTTCTGTCTTTCTTATAGAGATCAGCATTACCAGCTGGTTTACATTTGCATTTCTGCAGGGAATCACCTTGCAGCTTCTTTGGTGGTATCAGTACAACTCTGGAAATGTCAAAGGAGCATTGCATGTATAGTGGCAAGAGCAATCAAAGGGAGCACGAGGACCCAGAACTGTTTGTAGATATTGTTTATGGGAATAATGTCCACAGCTTCTTTTCTGTTTTTTGTGACAAGAAATGGTTGGGTAAAAAATAAACCCGAGAAAATTTACTTGATTTTTTCTTCTCTTTCCAAAGTTTATATCTGAACTATGACTTGTACAGCAGGTTTGGGACACTCATAAGTGCTGTTCAGGTCATGACACATACAGAAAAAAAAAAATTGTGTGCTTTACAAACTGTGGGTCATTTTCATTCTGTCCTTATTTCCCTCATTGTTAACATTGTGACAGGGGAGGGAATTACAGTGTGATCCCATCAGTTCAAAGATGGTAGTCCAGAGGCTAGACTACCTCTTCTTTGCATGGCTTAACCACATGCATGCATGCAAGACATGCAATGCACGTTCTTAAGTGGGCAAATCTCCAACACGAGTTTATTCTTCTTTTTAATCACTCTGAGATCCTCAGATGTTTTAGTTACAAAAGTTTTATGCATGACTCTTATTGTGGAATTTTTAGCCATGGCTTCCTTTCAATTCCTCTTTCCTTTTTCTCTAAAGGACTAACTGAAGATAGGTGGTAGTCCCTCCAAGCGTCATCTGTTTTCTAAGGCCCTACTTCAAGCCCTGAGGTGGGCTTAACAGTAATTTTCAGCTGTACAACAAGAAGTGAGGAGTGTGAAACAATTAAAATTCTACAGCCACTACTTCAGTCCAGTACTTAGTAGCTCTAGTAACCATTAATTAAATATATAAAATCAGTTCAATTAAATAGAAGAGATTAATATGGTTTCTCTTGGAAACACACTGGTTTAAAGCACTGAGAAAATAAATAGAGAAAGTTGCTAGACAAGCTGATTAAGTTTTTAGTGGAGATTATCAAACTTGGCTTTCCTAGTACTTGCTACCCAGTTTTATACCATTTAAAAATGTACTTCTGGTTTTGTTTGTAAACTGATTACAGCCTAGTGTATAGGAAACACAAAGACTCAGTGCCCATCCCAGCTAGGTTTTGATAGAGATACAACTTCCCTTTGTCCTGTTCCATTTCCACTATCAGTCTACTTTATTGCTACACACAGAGGAGCAGTAGAAAATAACAATCTATTCTCAAAGAAATTAAAGAGAAGTATATTTTCTGGGTGAGAAAATAGTTTGGAATCAGGTTAGAATGAAATTAATTTTATGAATTTTAGCAAAACATATCTCTTGGGTCTTACATCTGTACTGCTTTAAAATAAAAATCAATGCTTTTTCATTAAAAGGCATTTTTCTCCTCATACAACTGCTGGATGTCATACAGATCCCATGCAAACATGGTAGTATTTTAGCAGAAACTAATGAGTTAAAAAAATAAAACCCCTGTCAAATAGTCACTAGGTCACAAAAATGACCCTATGCTCTGCTCTCTGTGGAATATTAACCGTGAGGTATAATGTAGTTAAAGGTGACTGAGCAGCAAGTTGGCTAATGTTTATAAGCCAATCCATAAGCTCCATGACTCTCATCTAAAATATTTTTTCTTCCTAGTAGACATTAAGAAAAATCTCCAATGCCTGTCATTTCACTTTTGAAATTATTTCCACTTCTAAGTCAAAATTATTTGTTTGGTTTTTTTTACTGAGTGATCCCTTGAAGTTATTACAAAAACACCAGTCTTTGGAGTTTCAAACAGTATAGCAATTTCATTTTATAAAATGCATGCTTCATAACCAGGAATATTTTTTAAAAAAACCTCTGATCTCACCCATTCTAAGCCAACCTTCTCTAGCCTCTCTTACAGTTATTTTCTTGGTAGCAATGAAGATATGACTGTAATACAATCTTTTATTGTAATACTTTGTTGTAGGGCCTGATCGTAGAAGACTAGAGAAACCTGAACTGGACAGCTAAAAACCTAAACCACTCTTCTATAATAGTTAAGGAAGAGAAACAAATATGCACATTTCTCTGTGGTTCAGAGTACTTGTCCACCATAAAGGAACAATCCAGAGCTAAATTTCTCCAATAGCCTTTCAGATAGTCTTTATAGTCTCTAAAGTAATTTGATTTTGTCTGATTCAAGGAAATTATTTTTCCTGATAACCTTGTTTCAGTTATTTTGGTGGCCCTGCTTACTTGAATCAGAACTGCTTAATGTTACAGTTCTCTGAAATAGGAGTCAGAGCAAGGCCTGGCAGCTAATTTAAACGCAAGCTTCTGAGTGAGTATAGCTGCAATTTTTAAGCAAGTAAAGGAAATGGCATATAACAATCTATCTTAACTTTTTCTCTGGGTTGTTTTCTGCCTGTTATTACTATAAGCTGTACTAAAAAAGAGAAACAGCTGACTGTGGTCCTTTGTTAGGGTTAATGTAAAAAGGACACGTATAAACATGAATTTCAATACAAGCTATTGACTCATTCCATTCAACCCACATTTCTGTATAGTCTTACTTTAGACTTTACCACTTTGTTCACAAAACTGATTGCAAAAAACAATGCAGTGTAATACACACTTATTGATTTGCACAAGGATCAGTGGGAACTGCTTGTGTGACTTCTTGAAAACTGCTTAGTTTGGGAGTCATCAATTCAGGAAACAAAAGTAATGAAATTAAATTTTAACACACTTGAATAGCATTTGTGAACAGTGGATCTTCTAAACAATAGCTGTTGTGAGCTGTGAATCCATACAGCTTGATAAGTTCATACAGAACATCCAGTAAATAATGAAGAACAGGTAGATTTATTGCTAGTGTGAATCAGTGCAGATGTACTAGCTTCCATAGAACTGCCAGTTAGCCCCAGTACAGGATCTGGCTTCAAATTTGAGAAAAGGAAAGGAAAAACTTTTTCCTGAGGGTAGTTTCTGTAATTATTAGCAGGAAATATCCCCAGGTTTCTAAGCATAACAAACTGAGCCTAAGGAAAACTCCACTGAGTGCCATAAATAAAGACATATACGTCTAAAAAATGGTCCAGAAGACTAGATGTGTTTTCCTGTAAAAATATAGCACCTTTCTCCATCACATACCAGCTCTCCATGAATGCTCAGCACGATGTTGTCATGTCTTTCTCTACCAGAACCTTGGACAGCAGCAAATTTGTTTGATTAACTCTGTTAACCCATTGCCTCTAAGCCCTTCGGGGCTGTGGTCTTCTCTCAAGGGTGTGTAGAAATCACCTGAGAAAATGAAATCAACTGACAAAAAATTTAGGCTTGTACACTGTTTAAAAAAAGTAATCTTTCAGAGCATTTCCCAAAAGAGCCACAATGTGGCTTTATCCATGCTATGGCAAATATCAATGTTCTCGTCTGATCCTGAAAACTATGAGATGGCCATGTAGAAACATCAGCTCCACAGGCCCAATCTGAGGAGTCACGATTGAATGTTTGGTAAATATTGGATTATGAAATTCAAACAAATCTTTAAATGCACTTAGAACTATTATTTTGCTGATAAATGCATTTAACCCAATGCCTAGCCCCAGATTATGAGCAAAACCTTTCATTAGCATCATCTTCTGGAACTACCCTTTTAATGGTAGCCTAGATTCAGACCAAAACAGCTGCACCTTAGGAGGCTTCCACAGCAGGTGGTGTGGCAGTAACATGTAAACTCTGTGCTTTCTCCCTACAGGAAGCCTCGTGTGCCTACGTGCTGATCGTGACGGCTATATATTGGGTCTCTGAAGCAGTACCTCTTGGTGCAGCAGCCTTAGTTCCTGCTTTCCTATACCCACTTTTTGGAGTCATGAAGTCCAGTGAGGTCAGACTAGCGTGCACTTTTTTTATTATTTAATCTTCTTATTCTCAGTTAATTATTTGAATAAAACTAATCTTAGTGGACTAACAAGACTACGTTGTATGGGAAGAAGAAATGTACATCTTGTAATGTGTAGCTTAGACTGATGAGCTCTTTCTTGTACTGAAGACAAAGGAAAGACTATACTAGCCAAGAGGGGTGTTCATCCTGTCAGCTACTGTATCATCAATAATTCTCAAAACCTATTGCATCAAAGGATCTTACCTTTTCCTTCCTCCAAACCCATGTAAACAGCAGTTGCAGTTATGGGATAAACTATAAAGTTTCCTTCCAATTGTATTTGTTATAGATGTTGTACAAAGCAAGAGGCTACATATTCTAAAACCAGTTACCATTTACTGTATAAGACTAATGTTATCTTGATGAATGTCTAGTCCTTTTTCCAAGCCATGTGAATGTCTGGTCATTTCTCCAAGCTGTAACCTTAGTGCTGCCTTGTAGCCATGAGTTCTAAGGCAAAGAAGTAGCTGTATAAAAAACTCTCTATGATCAGTTCCCAATTTGCTTTCTTGAGGTTTTTCTTAATGTTACTTTCTTTCATGATATGCCAAGAACTTGTTTTATTTCATCTACAGCTTTTTTCCCCCTGTTTTTTTCTGTCTTTTTTGGGGTTGAAGGGGCGTCACACTTGATTTACAAGGACTAGAAATACAGATAAGAACACAAAAGAATATACAGCAACCATAAAATAGTTGAATTTCTAACACAATCTAGCACTGAGCATACCCATAAATGGATGGAGTCAAGCATAAACCAAGAGTTTTATGACCTGTCTTATTCCTCCCAGTGGTGTAATATCTCTGTAATGTAATCAGATACATTTCCATACCAACACAGTTAAATATTTTCAGGATTTTTTTTTTCCTAACATAAAGGTAAAGTAGTTACGCATTTTCATTACAAAATTCTGCAGCATATTGGCGAAGGAAAATTTAAGAGCAGCCTGACAGAAATTCAATGTAATATCAAATTAAACAACAGTGAGACTACTGCAGAGGATGTATTATTTGTTTTAGGAACAGAAATAAACCCCTGTATTTTAAAATAAACAACTCAGATGATGCTGCAGTATTTCCAGTCTACTGTTCTGGAGTGTCAAAGAAATCCAGAGTTCTTGCCTAACAGTTTAAACTACAAAGAATTCACAGGGGCTCAAGAACATGAGCCAGTGTGTTGTATATGTTTATGTGTGTATTAATATTAGGATTCACTTGTTTCTCCAAAATGACTGTGAAAAGAATAAAGGAAAACAACAGATTCTTTGTGCTGCTGGCTTGATGGTTTCCTTTCATTCAGTTCAAGATCTTTTTTTAACAAAGTAGCAGGAAAATAAAGTTAATGAGAAAGAAACCAATGCAAGAAAGCCAAAAAAGTGATATTTAAAAGTTCTGGCACACAACAATGATGGCCAAGTCTATTTAGGTCACCATGGGGATTTGTTAAATAAATGTAGTTAAATACTTAACTGGCTGCAGCTTTCACGAAATAACCTAAGTGTCATTCTTGCACTTTTATGGAGGATCATCAGTATAACTGAGGACAATGGAAAAATTGCTGCTTCTACTGATTTTAATTGTTTTTATTTGCTGGCACCTAGATTTGATTAGAGGAATAGTTTTAAACTGAAGAAACCATGTTTTTGGAAAAATATTCCAGCATCAGCTTCGGAAAGATTTCATCAGAATGAAATGAAAAATTTAGCCAGACTCTGAGCATCTTTATGTAACTTTTATTTTCATAGAATCATAGAATCATTAAGGTTGGAAAAGACCTCTAAGATCATCAAGTCCAACCATCAACCCAACACCACCATGCCTACTAAACCATGTCCTGAAGTGCCATGTCTACACATTTTTTTAACCCCTCCAGGTAGGGTGCCTCAACCCCTTCCCGGGGCAGCCTGTTCCAATGCTTAACAACCCTTTCAGTGAAGAATATTTTCCTAATATCCAATCTAAACATCCCCTGGTGCAACTTGAGGCCGTTTTCCCTCATCCTATCGCTAGTCACTTGGGAGAAGAGACCAACACCCACCTGGCTACAACCTCCTTTCAGGTAGTTGTAGAGAGGGATGAGGTCTCCCCTCAGCCTCCTCTTCTCCAGGCTCAACAATTCCAGTTCCCTCAGCCGCTCCTCATAAGACCTGTTCTCAAGAGCTTTCACAAGCTTTGTTGCTCTTCTATGGACAAGCTCCAGCACCTCAATGTCCTTCTTGTAGTGAGGGGCCCAACACTGAACACAGAACTCGAGGTGTGACCTCACCAGTGCCAAGTACAGGGGAACGATCACTTCCCTAGTCCTGCTGGCCACACTATGTCTGATACAAGCCAGGATGCTGTTGGCTTTCTCGGCCACCTGGGCACATTGCTGGCTCATGTTCAGCTAGCTGTTGACCAGCACCCCCACATCCTTTTCTGCCAGGCAGCTTTCCAGCCACTCTTCCCCCAACCTGTAGCGTTGCATGTGGCTGTTGTGACCCAAGTGCAGAACTCAGCACTGAGTCTTGTTGAACCTCATACAATTGACCTCAGCCCATTGATCCAGCCTGTCCAGATCCCTCTGCAGAGCCTTTCTACCCTGTAGCAGATCAACACTCCTGCCCAATTTGGTGTCATCTGCAAACTTACTGAGGGCACACTCAATCCCCTTGTCCACATCATTGGTAAAGATATTAAACAAGACTGGCCCCAAGACCGAGCCCTGGGGAACACTGCTTGTGACCAGCCGCCAACTGAATTTGACTCTGTTCACCAGAACTCTCTGGGCTCAGCCATACAGCCAGTATTAAATTTTCTCACATTTTGTTTGCTTTCAGACAAGAAAGAGAACAAGAGTGTGTGCACACGTGTGTGTGTGTGTTTGTGTGTGAATGTTTTGGTTTGCTTCATTTGTTATTTTTGCAGTCACTTCACAGAACATTTCATATCTTAGCAAGCCCCACATTCAAGAATGCTGCTTTGGAGGACCATTCATGGTCTCTGAATCTTTTCCTGAGCCAGTTAATGATTTTTGCTCATCCCCTTTAGATTAAAGTCCTCTTTTTTGGACTTTTGCCCTATTTTCCTGATACAATGGAGATGGATTTCCATTGTGAAAAGTGAAAAGTTCTGGCACAGGGTCTGCGGATCATCAAAGCAATATCCCAATGTTTCTTTATTCATTCAGAGAGCATGTCTCATGGGACTTGCTTTCTGAAGCTGTAGGTTCTAGGGATGCCACATTTTGCCCAACAGTTGAACAAGACATAAGAAATACAGACAAGATAGACAACGATATCTCTAGAATCATAAAGCAGATGAAGTACGTGAATAAGCTGCCTTCAGTGCAGAGGTTTGTCTGTGGCTGTTTCAGTCTGGGCCTAGCTGAGTATGATTAACTGCAGGCAGTGAACAGCCTGCTGAAAGAAGTAAAATTTCTCTTGATCTCTTCAAAACTGAGAAAACTATTAACAAGTGAGTATAGAGCCTTGTTATTTATAAACACAACATGAAAGAGATTAAAGAGAACATTTTGATTTATGAATTCTTCATTTTCTCCAGCTCCCTCTCATTCTTTCTCTAGGGGGAAAAGATCTACAATACTATATTCTTCTCATTCAGCATGCTCTCTGTGTAGGGTAGTTACTGCTTTTTTAACTGACTGTTTCCCCTTTGCCCTTAATGCAGGTGGCTGCTGAATATTTCAAGAACACAACTTTGCTCCTCATGGGCGTGATTTGTGTGGCAGCTTCTGTGGAAAAGTGGAATCTCCACAAGCGAATTGCCCTGCGCATGGTCATGATGGCCGGAGCAAAGCCAGGCATGTGAGTGAACCTTTGACTTTGTGGTAGTCTGAGGTTGACAGCAGCATCTTGAAAGAGCAACAGCAACTCCAATTTTCCCATCCATGGGCAAAAGCTAGCTTAGTTTGGGACTCTTTTTCCTACCCACCTTTCCTTTCAGAGTTTGAAAGCTTAAAATTTTCTCATCCTTTCTCTGCCACCTCCTACTCCTTGGCTGTTTTCCCTTTGCTTTATGTTTTTTACTGATACTGATTTTAGTTTCTCTCTTCCTTCTTTGCCTGTTGTTTAGCAAACACAAAAGGACGCTTCAATCCTGGATAGGCTGAAAATTGCTGTTTCTCACATCACATGCTGATTTTCATGTGGAGCAGCAAACAGCTTCCAATGATACATTGTCTTATGACAGTTCTCAGCACAAGGTGGCATTTTATCTGTGCATGGCATGATATTTTGGCACCCACAAAAAGACAAAGACACCAAGTATTTATCCATTGACTAATGAAAATGTTAGGCAAGGAGGTCGTTAATATTTCTGAAAATGCCTCAAGAAGTTTTCCCTGTGTTGTACTCCAGGCTGCTGCTTTGCTTTATGTGTTGCACCACAGTGCTCTCCATGTGGCTTTCCAACACATCCACCACAGCCATGGTGATGCCAATCGTGGAGGCAGTGCTCCAGGAGCTAGTCAATGCTGAGGAGGAGCGCGAGGTCATCAGTACTGCAGGCAGCACCATTATTGAAGAAAACGAGCCAATAGGTATTTGTCAATATTGCCCATTATTTTCTCATTTGTTTATCACTTACCAGACTCGTTGATACACATTGTTCAAATACTATCAAGGTCAGAGCTGTCTGACTTGTACTGCCAAAGATGTTGGTCCGTAGTCTTTCTTTTTGTACTCTGAGATTTCTTTCAAAAAATGAAAGTTTCAGGATGTGATGGGAGAACTGGAGTTGGGAAACTATGTTGAATTAGGGCATGTACTGGACTTTGTGTGTCATAAACTCCTTGGTCATAGGATTTTAGAGTTGGAAGGAAACCTCTGAGAAGAAAGTCAAAGAAATGTAGAAGAGGCCCAGAAGTACGCTCTGTGACAATCTTATGCTTGCCCATTCTACCTCTGCTTTTCCAGGCTGCCCAGGTCAGAGCAAGTGCCACAAAAAAAAATCGATAAGAGCTCTAAGGTTTGTTTTGTTCATTCCTTCCCAGAAGGAAAGGATTTTGGAAGAAAAGAATCTCTCTTTTCTTTCAAGTCACAGATTCCAGGCTGAAAATTATGTCATCTAACCTTGCTTATTATGCATAGGTATGATAGTCTTTTAACTGCCCGAGGCACATGGTCGGGACAATATGACACAATAAAATGCTGCATAAGGGTCACAGAGTACCTGAGATGGTTTGGACAAGATTTTATTTGCAGTAGCTTCTCCAGGTTCAGTAGTGTGACCCAAGGGCTCAGCTCAGTTCTTACACCAAGAGCTGCTTTCTCTTCGTTCATTGCAGGTCTCACCGAAAAGCATGGCCAACCTTCACTGGAGCTTATCTTCATCAATGAGGAGTAAGAATGAACCCTGTACAACACGCCTGGAGATTTGAGCCCTACACAGGTTGCAATGAGATGAACCCAGGAGTAGAGCCAGGAAGGGCAAGCAGAAGCTTACAAGTGAATGTTTCAGATGTGACTGACAAGGAAGGCTTATATGAGAAATGGGATTAATGTAATGGTCTGGATCTCACTAAAGCTTCCCAGTGTTTTTTTTTTTTAACACTAGTGCCATTTTAGAGATGAGGAAAATGTTTCACAGGGTTTGAAAGATCTTCTGAAGTCTGTGTTTGTGCTGTATAAGAGAGTGCTGTCCACAGATACTTATTTCTGTTCCCCTGAAGGAACAGTGATGGAGAGGATCCAAGCACAGTACGGAGTGCCCACAGGACATATCCAGAGGGAAAACACTTACAGAGGATTCCTGAGGAAAGTCTGAACTGTCAAGACCAGTCAAGAGAGAGATGAGAGCAGGGGAACAGGGGAAGGGGGGACCAACAAAAACCACCCCTCCTTCTCCAAAGAATCTGTAAAATATTGTGTTGGGTTTAATGTGGTACAGGTAGGTGCTCAGAAACCGCATTGCAGAGGCTGGCGGAGGAAGAACTTGAGTAGAACAAGACAGCGGTAGTGCTGGATTGCCCGGTGATTCACTTCACTGTGAATGGAGTCCATTCCTAGAATGTAGTACATACTACCTAGAATACATATTTTGTCTTGCATGGAGGTGTAACCCCATTGCTACACTGCTAGAGATAGAGCTGTGAAATATAAGTCTTATGTATCTGGCCAAGACACCGCATAAGAGGTACTAACAAATGGTATTATTTACCACTAATTAGGCACTAATTCTCCTGCAGGTGTTGTCCCTCATACCCGTGATGTGTGCCTTTTGAGGGAGCTGGGTGAACAGGCATTTTTAAAGTATATTTTCCTTTCTTTGTTTTTAGTGCTACTACTACTGACTTCAGCTCCTTGATGCACTCAAAGGTATTGTAATAGGTAGTATCTTCTGAGCTAGACTGTCTTCTAATGGAGGAACCATCAGGGCAGAGTCCACACAGCTCTGCAACAAACTGCTGTTTCCTTTATTTCAAACAAGTAGTGGCTGTTGACAGAGAGTATGTGTTGCAGAATGTCCTGCTTTGTATTTAACCTATCAGCCTGCTTGCACAAATCAATTTGCAGAACATTAGCTCTGTAGCGTTTGTTGTACTTATCGCTGGAGATCTGGAGCTCCAGTCAGTAAACTAACAATTCCATATGGTTTCTAGCAAGTTCAGGTATGATCATTATTGTCCAGGTATTGCCAGCTTCTGCAGCGGAGACACCTCAGTTACTAGAAAAACCTCCACATATAAAAAGTCATAGCCTCTAGCAAGGGACCTGTTAGATTCTCCTACGTGGCAGATGGAGAAGATCTAAACTTATTATAACCTGACTTTTAAGATCACTTTAAAATAAAATCAGGATTGGTTGGGTTTTTTATAGATCTTATTTTTGTTTCGCAGTGTAAAGTTTACAGCTGAAATTTTAGTGTTTTGTTTTGTGGTGGGTGTTTTTGGTTGGTTGGTTTGTGGGGTTTTTTCAAAAGCCATGATCTTTACAAAGCATCGTAACTTCTAATCTAAGTGCCCATAGGAACAGAAGAAAGGCTAATCCAAAGGCATTTGCCTCCCTACAGAGTATGAATGGTGTGCACATGATAGCCAACCCTCTTGGAAGAATGAATTCTAAGAGCAATGGGCAGCACCTACCTCAGGTAAAGAGATGTTAGACCTGGAGAGTGAGGGAAAAGACAGATGTGAACATCACCTGCTCCTCACTGTTTCATATTTGTTCCTTGTAAGCTGTGTTACATGGAGTCGTTCTCCATCACCTTACAGTAGTCATGGCTTGGCACTTTGCTAGTTCTTGCTCCCATTTAGATGCCCCCAGCACAGGTGTGTTCAGAAGACCCTCCCCCAATGGCTAGGACAATTCATTTAGTTTTATATTTAGTAATGTGATCACAAGTTTCCTTTCTTATCTGGCTGTTCTACACACTTTATTTCTGCAAAGCCTCCTTGGAAAATAGCCCAACTCAAAAATAACAATCCCTAATACACAAAATCCTACTCAGAACTAAACCAGCAGACGGCATGGACCATTTAACTGTTCAGCCAGTTCATTAGGTAGTCTTAGTATCCACTTCCTTTTTGTCTTGCCAAATATTCACACTCAAAATTCTGCATTACATCAGTCCATTCCAGTATTTCCACTTCTCTTGAGTGGATCGAAGAAGTGATTGCTGTTTGGACTACAATTGCGTAGTATCTAAATGGCATAAGTTGATGCCCAGGAAAGATTAGGCTAAAATCAACACATGAATTTGCATTCACGGTTCAAAAGAATTGAGTATATGTTTCAAAAAAAAGGCTAATGAGCTGCTCCTGATACTTAATTTCCTCTTTTATCCATTTCCCATAGACTTTCAGTGGTTATTTTGTAACTAATACACTCGCTTCACTTTTAACCTACAGGGATTTTATCCAGGGTACACTCACAATGGTGATGAACCTATAGCATGACTGATTTTACTACATAAACCCCTGCTTTAGCAGAGAGGTTGGACTAGATGATCTCCAGAGATCCCTTCCAACCCCTACCATTCTGTGATTCTGTGATAAACCCAAAGCTATACTAATAAATTTAACAAATCTATCTGAACCACTTGCTCCCTTTTTCCTGATCCTAAGTTACAGCCTTGGGTTGCACATGGAGTGCCTTGAAGTACCGTACCTTTTTTTCCAGTACAAGAACTTGATTTACCAACATGGACACTTTCCTGCCACTGCTAAGAAAGCTTCTCTTTGGAGCAATATTTTCTTCCATATTCCCTTTGCCCAGCCGTATCTGAGACCCCTAGCAGTCCATTCCTAATTAGAAGTCCTGAGCAAAAGTGCAAAATGTCCACTAAGTATTTGCCTGGTGGCTGCTCGTAATCCTCAAGGATTATGGATTCCTACTGCTGCAGTGCTGGCATCCTGCCCCTGCAGCCCACAAAGGCTTTTGGTATCCTGCTGAGATTCCAGTCTCAACTGGAGCTGGCCCAAACCATCGCCAGAAGTCTGATTACAGTTTGTCCTACATTTCTGCCACAGACCAGGCAATTTCAGGCCCCTGGACAGGTTTCTAGTTCTGATCCCTGTGAAGAAAAAACTGCCCCCTCTTACGCAAACCTGCTGTTTCTCTGAGACCAGTATCACCATGGCATTAGAGCAAGTTGGGCTGCTGTTCTGATCACCTGTTTTCTTCAGTGAATGTATCCTCTCACAGGCTCAGATACTGGTCCTGCCTCCTAAGCCCTCAGAACTGGGCCTGAGCACTAAGTACCGGTATCAGACCAGACATGACCACATGGTCTGTAAATGCCTCTCACTGAGCATCTCCTACGCAGCAACCATTGGAGGACTGACAACCATCATTGGGACCTCCACTAGCCTCATATTCTTAGAGCACTTCAACAAGTAAGTGATACTGTGGTTGTGTAAGAATGGTGGTTGGGTCCTTATCATCTCTGTGGCTTTCCACAGGGGTTATTTACTACCTCAAGGAACACCAATTTTGTTTCCTCCTCTACTTTAATGTTATTACTAATGGTTAATGGTTGAAAGGGGGAGCTTAATGCATATCCATGTCTTTCTCCCATGCAAAATAAAAATTCTTCAGCATGTAGTAATATTTAAGTTTCTTTAGCAACTTCTTTTGATTTTACAAACTGACTATCACGAATGCAGCAGGCACTCTGGAAAAGTAAACACTCAAGCCATGAAGATGTAGCAAAGAAGACAAACACTCACAAAAGAAGAAATGTTATAAAATCAGCTTCAAGTTGTTCTATGGATTTTTAGAAAGTGAGCTTTCATGGTAGAACCCAAAGGCATCACTAGTGGTATTTGGGCCGCTCAACATGTAGTACAAAAATAAACAAACTTAGAAATGTGGCCTTACACCTTTGCTTCAGAGAAGACGGGAAGCAGCTCTCTGATCAGCTATTTCATTTATCATATATGCTCAGTGCTCTCAAAGACATGAATACTACCTCTGTCAGAAGATTGGTGGTACTTCTCCTCATGCACAGATACGTATCCAAGCTTAGACGTGATTCTGATCATCTGCTGCTGCCACTGCTGCCATGGTATCCTTAATTTCTCTCTCTGAAATGGCGGTAGCAAAGAAAACTAATTTCAGAACTAATTTTCATCCTTAACCCAAGGACTGGGATTTTGCAGAATTTCCAAAGATCTTGCTGTTATAACAGTTCCACAAAATGCACATGTCGGACATCTTTGTCAGAGCCCAGCAGACTATAGTCATAAGATATACAAAGGGATTCTGGGTGAAATCATTCTTAAGTCTGCTGACACTAAAAAGAGCTTAACAAAAACCACAGGCAGGGCCAGAATTTCACTCCTGGTAACTCTAAGGGGTTTTGAAGCTGGCTAAACAATCCAGACCATCTGATCTTAAAGGCGTGAAGTGCTATATGGCTCGTCTGTTGGTCAGGCATGGTCAATGACTGACATCATTTGGCAATTGGTTTCACTATGCATATGCAGGTAATGCAGCTGTTGCAACTACATGCTGACGCAATTTTTCTATTATGCCATGACAAATGTATATACATATATATGTGTATGCATCTATGCATATTGGACGTGCCTGTCCCTTTACTGTTCTAACTTCCTGTGCATCCTTATTTTCCTTTACAGCCATTACCCAAATGCTGAAGTGGTGAATTTTGGAACCTGGTTTTTGTTCAGTTTCCCCATCTCCCTCATCATGTTGGTCCTGACTTGGTTCTGGATGCATTGGCTGTTCTTGGGTTGCAAGTGAGTGCTGGCTGTTCAAGATGCACAGATTACAAAAGCAGGGCATCTGTGCCTCCTCTAGAGCATGTGTCATAAAGATGCTTCCAGTTGCAAATGACAAAAACTAAGGCAGAACTTTCTTCTTCTTGCCAGAACAATTACCGGAGGAAATCTTACTGCTTAGCTGCACTGCAGAGACCACAGTGCACAGTATTGCTGCTTGAGAGTGAAGTGCATAGGTATTGCTGATGGAAATCCTTACTATGCATCCAACTGATTTTTTTACTCTCCTGACCATGAGGATCCCGTTGTGGACCAAAAATCTTGTCAAAAGTCCTTTTGGAACAGCTTAAAAGATGAATAGAAAAATAACTGCAGGTGAACAAGTTACTTTTCAGATCTGCCCCCAGCTCAATGAGATTAATGTAAGACCAATTAAAATTAAAGGTAAATAGACTCCATATATATTTCTCTTTAAAGAGGAAAGGACTCATAGCCTAAGACATGAATACCTTTTGATATCAGTAAGTCCCTTAGCCCCAAAACAAGAACAAGGCTCACTCTCCTAGTTCATTTATACCACGTATTCTCTTTGCAGAGGCACTCAGCAAAGTTAATGAAAATTGACTAAATGTGTGCATTTAGAGTGGATTAGTTAATCTGCATTAAATTATGGTGCAGACACATTTACTCAGAATGAAAGTGGCCTTAATTTGATTTAGTTTACTCTTAAAAGTAAGATGAACCAACATCATTAATTTATTTCACCTAAGACAATGAATAAAATGATAACGACTTCTGCTTGCTGCTGACCTTGACTAGATTTGAAGAGGTAATTTAGAGGTGAATGGCTCCATGTTCTTTTCTCAGTCAGTCTCTCCTGAGCCTTCTAGTTCCAAATTAAAAGGTTAAAATAAGTCTTTTTTTTTTTTTTTTTTAATCTAAGAGGAAACAGGCCCTAACATGACCCTCAATTACTTCCTTTTTTTTTAAAAAAAAGATAGAATTGAAATTCCACATTGCATCCAAGACCTCATGGTGACTAATGTTATTCTAAATAATACCAGAGACTGAAGCATTATTGACTTTTTGAGAAGTACTGTTTGATTCCAAGCCTCCTTAATCTCTGACTCCTGTTCAATGCAGTTCATTAAAGAACATATTATGTTAGGAGCTTGGCTACAATACTCTGCCTTCACATCTTCTTAAGCCTAGAAACACTTATAACATGTTGAAACAGCTGCCTAATGCCTGTGAATAAATGTTTACTGAATTCCTGTAATGTTTGTGTACTTTTTCTAGGAAGCCTGGTATCATCAATTTGTTCTGACTTGGCCCAGTTGGAACAGCATGTCAGCCTTGCTTTTAAGGCTCTAGACTAGGTCAAAGGGGAAGGATAACGGACCCACCAAATTATTTTTGCCAGCAAAGCAAAGCTAAGGGTAGAATTGTTACTATAGAACTGGCCATTATAAACTATATAGCTCTTTGCTTCCAGCAGCTGCATTACTACTGGTGGATTTTACTGGAGTCTAACAGCAACGTTTGCAAGGAAATTTAAATACTTTTAGGTGGAGGTCAGTGCTAAGTGCACTAAAACCAAGTGTCACATAGATCCCCATTTACAAGTGAAATGAAAAGCCGGTTTAAGACTTTTTGTTAAGTAGATAGGGCCTGCCTGCCTCTTGAGCTACACAAATTCCTTGAGAGTCTGGCCTTAACCAGATACGTGGAGGGAGATCGTAGTCCATGGTTTGGCCAGTGCTATGGCATGGATCTCTAGTGGGGTACCAGATGAGATAGTAAAATAGCAGGAACTATTGTGCTCCCATGGTATTTCAGTCACTGAAGTCCCGTTTTAGACTGGCTTAGCTGCAGAGGTTTCTCACCCCACCCCACACACCTCTGTGTGACAGAGGGTACAGCTGGAGCAGAAAAGCAGAGATCTGTGGCTCGAAGCACAACAAAGTAATGCTACTGGAAAGAATAAAAGGAAAAGGTTAAAGCGAGCTTGTAAGTGTCTTAATTCCAATTAGGAATGTCCAGGCTTTGTTATAGTATGAAGGCAAACTGAATAAACTAAGGACTTCACCTAATTTTCATACCAATGTATATCAGGTTTAACTATATTCAGCTATGAAATGTGCTTGTTCTTGTGAGTCTCTGGCAGAATTACAGACATATTTCACCAGGACAAAACCTTAGGCTGATTGCTTTGGCCTCTGTGGCAGAGGCAATTTGGTGCTACACTGATTGTGCCTGGTTTAGAAACAGCTAGTATCGGTAAAAGCAGACAGGTCGTGAAAGGTATTGAGTTCCTCAGCACAGCTTTTGCCCTTTACTTACAGTGAATCCTGAATATTCAAGTCAAACCTGGGCTCAAAAGCCAGACCGGGTCCCATATAGGTTGGATATCCCTGATCTGATTGGAAAGCATACAGTTCCCCCATTGAAAATCCTATTGATAGCTGGCCTCTGTCACAGTCTTTCCATGCGATGATTGAAGTTAGCCATACCCTTTGGGGGTTTCTGGCACCAGAAAAATCTGGCCACTTCCAGGTCTTTGAGGAAGCCTACACAAATGAAATCAGCCACAGCTTGGGTCAGCTCAGCGATACCAGTCAGTATTAGTCTGAGCAGCCTGGGGACCTTCCTACTATCTCTAACATTGATTCTCAGAAGATCTGGAAACTAGACTATGCAAAGATCACATGCAATCATTTCCCTTCCCATTGCCATCAGTCACATCTTCTCCCAACAGCCTCTAGCAACTGGAATTTTCAGTTTGCCTCATATTGCTGTTATTTTTTATGACTTTTTTTTTTTTTTCCGGTCAATGCCCTTGTCTAATTTTACTGTACTATCTACCTCAGTTTTAAAGAGACATGTTCTGTGAGCAAGAAGATGAAGACCAAACGGGAAGAAATGTCAGAGAGAAGAATTCAAGAAGAATACAAGAAACTGGGAAACGTCAGGTAAAATGAACCTGCCTTCCTCAGGAATTTGCCTCTCTAGGCAGGACCATCCTTTCATATTGCCCTCCCTGTTGCATTTGGCTCGTGTAGATTATTATTAAACTGTCAGCTCTTTCTCCTCCTTTCCAGGATAGGAGTAGAACTAAATGCAAAAATGAACTAAAATCAAAGACTTTGTTACAAGCATGCATTTATTTACTTATTTATTTATTTCTAAAGAAAAAGGAAATAAAAGGAAAAATTCAGGTTTATACCAGGGTCCAAAGGTTATCTGAGTCAAGGTTTGTGTCTACCTTTGAACTAAATCATTAAAGGCCCTCCCTTCCCAATTGAGGTGCATACTTATTTTGGTGGATAGAAGTTCACTGTTAGCAAAGGCCTTGCAGCAATGCCCCATGTGGTGAGATGTCCAGGCCTCTCAGTTGCCCATAATCTTTATTTACAGTGGCAAGAAATCTCTCTTGAAAAGATTATTTTGCAAGATTCTCATTTTTCAAAAGCGATACCTCATAAAATCCATTCTTCCCAAAACATTTTTGTGCTGTTCAGCTGAAATTTTGACAGATCAGCTTGCTGAATATGATCAGCTCTGAATCTAGACTATTGTTCTGACTGTGCCTAAATATGAAACCATACTTAATTTAAATCTATCCTAAATTAAAACACAGTATCCTCAAGTGACCTTTAATCTTATATTTATTCCATGTGATTAAAATATTTGTGCTAATCTACATTGTCATTTGCTCTTTTACTTTCTACACTTTAAAAAAAATGCAATAGAAAGTGTTTACAGTGGAATAACAATATGAGTTTTACCTTGTTACCACATTTAATCAGGTAATAATGCAAATACAAAACAAGCATTTATAAATATTTTCCTTCAGGTCTTGCCCATGAATGATTGAATTGCAAATACAGACTGATATTTTTAGCCTATTTTTTACTGGGTTTAGATGGTTCTCAGCTAGGAGCCAAATGTAGAATTCTTTAATTCAAACTAATCTTCCTTTCTATTTTCCATATTTTCTTTACCCTTATTGTTGGCACCAATTTCTACATTCTTACTTCTGGAATTTCTTCTCGGGTTTTCACACAGACCTTGGATTGAATTTGTACCTTTTTAAATTTTATTTATTTCTAGCTATCCTGAGATGGTGACTGGGTTTTTCTTCATTCTGATGACCTTGCTTTGGTTTACTCGTGAACCTGGCTTTGTACCAGGATGGTCATCTTTTTTTGAGAAGTAAGTAAGTAAGTGAAATTCCCTAAACAACTGCAGAGGAATATGGCCTTGCATCTTCTGACTTTCCACAATAATTTTTGTCCATAAAACATCATCTGCCACTTTTAACAAGGTGGTGAAAAATGAAGTCCTTATTAAAAAATAAGGATTTTTGCTTTTTAAACTACATCTATTCATATGGCAGCAAATTTTATTCTTTCTTAGTAAGCAGAGTGAATTAACTAGAGAAAGTAAAAAAAACATATTTCAAATGTAATAAAAACAGGAGGGTCAGATTCTGAAGTTAAAACATTTTAGTGCATTCATAGAGAAGCTATCACTGGAATAGATTGCAACTATAATTCAAATTAAAACTTGGGGTTTTTTTCTAATTTTGTTTTGAAAGAATAATTTTTGACAAAAAGTGTATTTTTGTGAAGATAAATATTATCAAGAAAATGCCCATTTCAATTTAATATTACACAGAATGGTGACTGAAGCAAATAATTTTAAGTAATGTTGAAACAAATTATATTAAAAGTGACTATAATACACAATGCATATCAAAGAACAAGTGATTAGAACTTACATTTTCTTTAAGCTCCTGCTTAATAATAAGTAAATAATAAATAATAAAATAAATTA